CTGCGTCTTATATGCCGGAGCGTCTTATATGCCGAAAAATACGGTATAGGATGTTCCAAAATAAAAGACAAATATAAATGTCAAGTTATGCTTCTCAGTCATGCTCAAAATGGAGAACATTTTGGAATTTCTCCTGGACAGAAAGTTGAAATGTAGGACATGTCTTGAAAAAGGAGGGTATCTGGTCATCCTGTCCATGGGGACACTTCCAGGTATAGAGACCTGCTCCTGCTTTACTGCTCACTACCTCTATGCTTGACCCACTACTACACATTCAGCAGAATGAGGTGCAAATGAAATGGCAGACTAGAGATGGTTTGGCTTTACATATGAAGTGGGGGATACTCTTTTTGAACATGCTCCTGCATGATAATCAGATGGAGTTAGCCAAAAGTGCTCTCTATGCTGCTGGACTTTCCAAGAGTGATGTTAATGTCAACTTTTGATACTGCTTTGTATTGCCAGCAAAAAGAGGGTGACAAGAGAGAGAGAAGACATGTGCACTTACGCATGCACATGCCAGAGGTAGGGAGAAGGTCCACCTGGCTTTACCTCCCATCTTGTTTTTTTTTTCCCTTGGCTATGCCTGAGTTCTAGCACTTTCTAGTACAAACAGCCAAATGTTCAGCCACAAAATGAACCAACATGAACTTTATCTTTCAAACATCTTGCTGAAAATATACTTTTTTTTGGGTAGAGGGAACCAGGCAAATTATTTCCTTTTTATTGTGATTTCATTTTCAACACCAGTGGCTGTCAAATATGGCTGCCTTCAGTAATTTCCCCCCAATTCAGTTTATCTTCTGAGACCCAAATATGTTTGCTAAGGGATGTGTGAACACTGCAGATCTTTACCATACAATTCAACCTTCATTCTCAGCTTGCAGTAGATATCAGCCAGGCCTATCAGACCTGGTTTCTGGCCCTCCCAAACAATAAATGTGCTTAAGAAGGCTCTCTTATGGTTTTAGGGGAAGCCTGTTAGCAGTGGATGAGCTATCTTTCAGAGAAGCTTGTCTCTTATAAGTGATATTTTCAATTAACTAAAAAGCTTTGATAGGTTTCCAAGGCTTTCAAAGAATACATCTGGAAAACCACTGGAAAAAATTGTGTCAAGAAATAATAATGTAGACAATTTCTGAAAAAGGGATTTACTAATTTAAGTCAAGATGAGCCTGTGCCTCCCTTTTCATAGAATATCAAACCTCCTCTTCCAAATATCACGGGAGCTCTTCCCTTAACCAGAGGTTCCCATTTCCAATATGGCTCCAGGACAAGAATAAAATCCTTTCAGAATAACTACTCACTTAAAAAGGTATGTTCAGTATGGAATACTGTCATCTAATAGGTACATCATGCACGCTTCTAAATTAAAATTGGAATACTGCTCAAATGCCAGAAGTTGTACTTTTATCTTGCGAGCTGCCTTGGGTCCCTTTCTGGGAGAAAGGTGGCATAAAAATAAAATAAAATAAATAAGTAAATAAATTTTACAATGGGTTAAGTGTGTGAATTACACAGTTGGTGGGCTATATTGATGTTGGTTATCAGCAGAAATCCCTGTTCCTGGCATCCATTTAATTGCAATAAAGACAGCCTAGAGCAAAACTCTTGCAGAGATGCAACCAGCAGCCTCCTCTGGGG